ACCCACCGGGCAGGTTTGATATTTTAGTATTTTTAATGCTTTTACCGATTTTTCACCATGCCTAGCATTAAGCAAAATGGAATCAAAGTCACAAAAACATATACGCAAACGAGAGGCTTAATTGAGTCCAGGAGTAAAACCTGAAATTAGTTTTCCAGTCCACCCAAAGTACCACAACAGTACAAAGTGTACTGCAAAATGGGAACATGAAATAGATAAATTAACCAATCCATCAACAGTCCTGTCAGTCGTTGCATCGCTGGTGATCAGCTGAGCTATTTCCGTGTACTTCTGCCTCACTCAAAGTGCGAATGCAAAAGAGTCTGGATTTTTGACACCATTCGGTAGACAGGTATTACCATTGCATCTTTGTGGTAATCTATTTTCGATTCCACTGGATGCCAGGATCGCCGACCATTAGGAAATATAGCAATGGATCAAGAACTTCTCGGATCTTCTTGGATCAGAAAACTTCTCGGATCAGGAATAACCTAAGAGTGACCTGTTTGCAATTCTTGGTACCTAGTAGTAGTAGTAGTGAAACCATTTTTAACGAATTTTGAAAATCCATCCAAATTCACTTGAGGTGGCATCATCGGTTGCTGAATCATCTGTGGTTGCTGTTGCGGTGTGAACATAAGCGGGTGCATCTGCGCAATTCTGGGTTGCATCATGTGTGGTGGGATGATCGGCATTCCGCCTCGCATCAGCATCATCATCACCATTGGATGAATGCGGTGCATCGGCATCATCGGCATCATTGGTTGCGGTTCCTCGGGTTGCTGAGGTTCCGGTTGCGGAGGATGCATCGCCTGTGGATCCATCATGAATCGAGGCATTTCACGTTCTGCTGCTACTTCACGTGCTAAACGGGGCATTTAATTACCGATTGCTCAAACAACCATATCAATTGACCTAGGCTGGAACGCACTGGGCGGGTCCGTGCGATCATCGCAAAAAGTAGGTGTAAAGCAACAACCATTCATGCAGTTAATGACCTGAGTACTTCAAGTCCT